AAAACAAATGGTAAGTATCTTTTCATCCGTATTATTTAGCAAAATGTTATAGAAAAATAATTTAAGATTGCAATGATTTCAATTGTGTAGGTATACACCTAAATACATGTACTCGGAGAAAACATATCCAAATTATTTATCAGGTACAGGGTATGTTATGAGTATGGGTGTGGCATCTAAGTTATATCAAGCAGCGTTGGTAACACCGTTGCTACACTTGGAGGATGTTTATGTCACGGGTTTATGCGCGAAACGTGCGAAAGTTCGACCCATGAACCATCCTGCATTCAGTTATTCACCTCGTAAATTAGATCCCTGCGTTCTCAGGAATGCGATTACCACGCATAAGATTAATGCGTCCAATATGTATGTGATTTGGATAAAAATGAATAACACGAATATTTCATGCAACAATCGTACTCGTATTGATAGAAAACCGATCACGTTGAGCAGAAGCGGTAGGAATGCTGGCTATTATGTCTTTAAAAGAAAAACTATAAACAAGTGCGTTTAAATGTACTTTTTATAACGTTGATTCCTTATATTATAAGACTAATTTTTTATCGAGCTTTCTTCTAAGCGCAAGTGGAATCGAATAGATGAGTAAGATAAGGAATCTCTAAAAACTTCAAGGAAGTTCTCTCTGATTCCTTATGGAATTAATTATTTATTTATAAATTTATTTACAAATATCGAAATATTGTTGATTACTTTCTATCATTTATACAAATTATTTTTTTTTATTTGTGTAAATTTCATTATAAAAAATTTAAGCAAAAATTCAATCAATGAATTTTCGCAAATCTTCGATTCTATTAGGCTGTGTCCAATTTCCATTGTTAGTTTACGTTTAATATTAAGTTTTTAAATTTTATAAGACTATAGCCAATTTGCATCGATAGTTTAATTGAATATTGATTAATGGTTCAATTCTTTTTACGTATTATAATTTCATAAATGATAAACGGAAATAGAAGATTCATTGATTAATATATACGTTGATATTATCTAATATCGGTGCAATTGGTACAATATGTGGAGTGATCGTGACAAACGACACACTGAAGGTTTTGTATATTTTTCTATTTATACCAAAGTAGTATTTAAGGGTACACTGTCAATTAGATCTTTTACATAATTTACATAATTTATCTTTTTTTACCTCTTTATGGAAGACATAATAAAAAATCGGTAAGAGGAAGAAGAGTATTATTGTGTCATGGACAGTTTTTCCGAATGTTAGACTTCTTGATTAACATTTCCTAATAACAATTATTTATATACAGTGAGAGCAAAAAGTATTCGTACAAGGAAATTTTTTACAAGTCTTATTTGTAAAAAATAAATATTAATTAGCAATTTTATACAATGAATACATTATGTTCTTAATTATCATTAACAAACGATCTTCGCATATATTCTTGATTTTAGAAGCTAAATTTCTCGATTGTATGAATACTTGAGCATCCACACAATACAATTTTTAATTTTCGGATTATCTTATTTTTCAGATGATATATTCAGATGATATATTTTCTATAATTAATACACATCTTTTTGGTATATATAATTTTAAGAAACATAGTTTATTTCTTTAAAAATAAATTGTTAATTACACAGCAAGAAATGATCAATTAAACGTCGAATCGACATCAAATTAATGTTGAAATCATCGTAACGATATTGATTCAACATCAATTCGATGACTCATTTCTCGCTGGATAATATTTCCTTTTTAAAAATAAAGTTCTTTTAAAAATATTTTCTCTGTACGAGTACTTTTTACTGTATGTAATATAGAAAATTTTCTGCGCGTAAATATGATTTCATTAATATTCTATAAACTGAATATTCTATATAGCTGAATATCTTGTGAAAGTCACGTGGAAGCTGTTCACAAAACTTCTCCTTATTTTAATACAAATATAATATTGCTTTCATATACTCACGCGAAACTATTTATATAGGAATGGTATTATAATATTATTAATCTATTTCAGAATTTCCTAAATAGCTTTGTTTCTTAAGCGTATGTAATACACAAAATAAATATGAAAAAATTGTTTCCTTAATTTAGTAACATAACATCTGATATAGATATAGAAAATAAAAATTTTCTATTTGAACAAAAATAGTGACTTAAAAATGGCTTGTGCTAATAACATCTCAAGATTCCGTTTCTTATTATTCGTAAATAAAATTGTTATTTTAAATTCGTTAGTATTTCAATTAATATTAATAGAATAATTATAAATTATAATATAGAAAAATATTATTTTGATTATATTTCAATTCGCTTTATATTTTTATTTCAGATAAAATGTTGAAAGAATATAATTATACTTTCAAATAAAGTTATTAATTTTGCAAAAGCATATTTATTGTGTATATTTTTTAGGACATTAAGACTTTGTTAAAAATGATATTTCTTCAAAACATTTTAATCATATGTTCTGTGTTCTTAAAAAAATAATGTATAAGATTAAAAAAAAATCTTATGCAATTTTAGTCTAATTTCATATTGATAAAATTTTTAATTATATGAATATCAATTTTGTACATTTTGAATAGATATAAAAACAAACTTTTTTTCCTCTAAAATTTTAATATCGATTATTCTCTATATTCAAATTAAAATATTTTATATGCGTATAGCACTATTTCACTAGTACTATTTCCTATTTTAGAATAAATATGAATAAATATGAATTATATATATTTATGTATGACAATTTATATACTTATTGCAACAGATTTTTTTTTCAAAAGAGAACATTTTAAACATACATAAATTATACTTTTCATTAACTTCAACAATTATATAACAAAGTATTTATCGTAAGTTAATTGAACGAA